ATGAGTGAAACTCCGTCTCAAAAAAAAAAAAATACAAAAAATTAGCTGAGCATGGTGGTACACACCTGTAATCCCAGCAACTCAGGAGGCTGAGGCAAGAGAATCACTTCAACCTGGGAGGCAGAGGTTGCAGTAAGCTGAGATTTTATCACTGCACTCCAACGTGGGTGACAAAGTAAGACTCTGTCTAAAAATAAAATGCCAACATAATGTGTCCAGTTAAGTAAAAGTTTAGTTTTTGTTAAAAAACATTTTAGAGATGTTTCATAAGATCTAAATACTTCTTAGTAAACAAATATTTTCAATAAGCATGTTTCTACAATAATCGTTTGAAATAAAATCTCTTATTAGTCCCTTTATGTTTTGTACATAAATTGGAAACATTTGAAGTCTAACACGAGTAGAAAATGCAGAATAACATCTTAAAAATAAAGAGCCTTTTTATTTACCCTCTTTCACATTCTTTTACATTGCTTTTGCTCATCCTTACCTGTATGTCTTGGAGACTTTTTTCTTTAGAGCAAACTATCTTTGAAATTTAAAATTAAAGAAACTATCTTGTGACTATCAATCAGCAAATTTAATAAATGGGTTAATCTGTTACGCATTTTTTATATTTTTAGTTGAACAGGCTGATTGTTCATTGACATTTAAACTAACAAAAAAATCATAAAAAGTGAAGAACTATGAATCAGCAGTAAAAACCCAAGATACCAACTTATCCAATAATTGCTAGGAAATAACTAACATTGTCACTGAGCCACCTTACTTCATTTTTGGAGATATTTACAGGGAAAAATGCATCAGTTCTCTTGGCTCTAGACATGGACCTTTAGCCGAGGAAAAGGCAGACAATTGTAGGCCTGAATGTTGAAAAACTATCCATACCTGTACTCTTTTTTTTTTTTACAGAACTTTTATAAGACTGAACTGAATAAGGAAGAGATGTATATACGCTACATTCACAAACTCTATGATCTGCATCTCAAAGCACAGAACTTCACAGGTAATTCTGTCTTTTGGCATTGGAGAAGGAGCTGGGCATTGGTGTGTTAAGCATGATGATCCTCTGCTTTTTATAATTAGAGTGGAACACTCAAGCATTTTTACTTTAAAATTAAAATTTATTTTTAATAAGATATATATTTCTACAGATTCTATATGTATCATATACATGATACACACAGGCACACACATCTAGGTTGTTTGACTATATCTCTTTGCATACTTTTTCAGAGGTGGCTCTTGGGATTGTAAAATACATATATAACTTTTTACAGTCTGCTTATAGTTAGTATTTTACCACTTCAAGTTTGTATTAGTCTATTTTCACACTGCTAATAAAGACATACCCAAGACTGGGTAAATTATAAGAAAAAGAGATTTAACAGATTCACAGTTCCACATGGCTGGGGAGGCCTCACAAACATGGCAAAAGGCAAAAGGCACGTGTTACATGGTGGCAGACAAGAGAGAATTTGTGTAGGGAAACTCCCCCCTATAAAACCATCAGATCTCATGAGACTTATTCACTATCATGAGAGCAGCATGGAAAGACCCTCCTCCATGATTTAGTTATCTCTCATGGGGTCCCTCTCATGACACACGGGAATTGTGGGAGCCACGATTCATGATGAGATTTTGGTGGATACACAGCCAAACCATATCAAAGTTAAATGTGGGAATTTTACAACTAGATAGGCCTTATGATTCTCCCCACTCTATGTTATAGTTGTCATGTGTATAATGTACATTGTCAGCCCCATCAGATAATGTCATAATCTTTACCTTTCAATACTCATACATATTTTAATGAATTTAAGGGGATAAAAATACTTTATTCTATTTACTCAGATGTTTACCATTTTTGTTATTCTTTCTTCATTCATTAAGTTTCCAGGTTCCTTCTGTTATTATAATATTTTCATTCAACCTGAAGAACTTGTTTCAGTATTTCTTTTAAAGCAGATCTAGTGGTGAAGAATTCCCTTAGTTTTCTTTCATCTAATATTTCCTTCCCTTTATTTCACCTTCATCCCTAAAGGATATGTTTGCTGGATACAGTATTATAGGTGAACAGTTCTTTTGTTTCAGTACTTAAAAAATATAATTACACTGTGTTCTGGCCTTCATGGTGTCTAACAAGAAATATGCAGTCATTTAAATGACTTTGCCTACAAGGCCAGGCGTGGTGGCTCATGCCTGTAATCCAAGCACTTCAGGATGCCAAGGCAGGTGGATCGCTTGAGCCCAGAAATCACAGACCAGCCTGGAAAATGTGGTAAAACCCCCATCTCCACCAAAAATACAAAAAATTGGCTGGGCATGGCAGCACATGTCTGTAGTACCAGCTACTCGGGAGGCTGAGGTAGATCACTTCAGCCTGGGAGGCAGAAGCTGCAGTGACCAAAATCACACCACTGTACTCCAGCCTGGAGGACAGAGCCAAAACCCTGTCTCAAAAATGATAAAAATAAATTACTCACCTACATGAAATATGTAACTTTTTTCGGGTTGTCTTTAGGACTTTATTTTTGGTTTTCAGTGGTTTGATTACTACATATATGGGCATGGTTTTCCTGTTTAGTTTAACCTGTTTGGGTTTGCTGAGTTTCTTGGATCTGTACATTTATTTCCTTTACCAAATTCAGGAATTTTCCAAGCATTATTTCCTTAAATATATTTCTTTACCAGTTCTTCTCCTCATTTTGAGGACTGTAATGGCATGAATGTCTGGCCTTTTGATGTTCCATAGGTTCCTAGAACTCTGTTCATTTTTTTTCAACTACCTTTTTTTTCAGATCACCAATATCTATTGATTTAAGTATACTGATGTTCTTCTGTCACTTCATTCAGCTATTGACCTTTCCAGTGAAATGGGTTTCTTTTTTTGTATTGTATTATTCAGTTCTAAAATTTCCATGTAGTTATTTTCTTTTTACACCTTCAATTTCTTTGCAAAGAATGTCTATCTTTTTATTTATTCAAAAATGTTCACCTTTACTTCATGGAGCATGGTTATAATAACTGCTTCATCGTTTGTCTATAATTCTAACATCTGCATCAAGTTGGGGTTGGCATCTGCTGATTGCTTTTGCCCTTTGAGAGTTGTTTAGTTTTTTAAAAGTCAGATAATTTTGGATTATATTCTAGACCTTTTAAATATTATGTTATAGGACTCTGGATTCTGTTAAACTCTTTAGGAAGACATTAACTTTTTAAATTTTAACAGATCAACTTAACTACACTTGTGCACCTTGAAGATGAATCTGACTTCATACACGGAGTTTAATATCGCTTTCTTAAGCTCCGTCCTCTCTGTGATCCTCCCCATTCTTCCTGCCTCCCAAGGGTTTCCTTTCTTAGTAATCTGGCTATATAGCCAAGACGTGATCCTCTTCATGCCATGATGCACTCCTTGTAGTTGGTCTCTCTGTGGGCAAAGCAGTGGGAAAAAAAAAAGCTCGTTGAAGGCACTACTGCCATTGCCATGGCCCCCAAGGCCACCCTACAGTATGCAACTTTGTTTCTGAGACTCAGAGTGAGGCCAGAAATGTCTACAGAGCTTTATCCCACAGGGGATCTTCTACCCAGCACTCTGACTAAAGGAACTTTTTTGGAGCTTTTTCTATCTGTTCCCATTTGCAATTCCAGGAAACAGGGAAGTCTAAGCCAGGAGGCATGAGAGGCAAAAAATAAAAGCAGAGAATTAAATGATATGGTCATTCTTTGAGTCTTAATTTTCTTCCTCAGTCCATCTGCTCTTTCTTACTTTTCAGAGTCCTCCAATAGTTGTGTCACATAGTCTCTCCAGGCTGTTTAGTTGTAGTCAGTGGGAGAGACAGGGTGGAATGTATGTACTCCATCTTAAACCGGACTCTTTAATTAGATTTGGGAACTACAAATCTTGGTTTTTTGCCACACTGTTCTTCCAAGGAACTCCTGAATCATGGCTCCTCCCCCAGCTTTAAAAGAGTGAGGGAATCCTTCCTGAAATGGTACTTGTGTTTTCAGAATTTACACATTCCTCTAGCTGTGGTTCCAATGTCTTAGTTAATAGCATCACTGTTTTACTCAATCAGAAGACCCTGATGTATCTTCAACTGTTCTAGCCTCCCTCAAATAATCATTCATGAAGTTCTATTGATTCTGTTTCCTAAAAATCTCTCAAACCATTTCCTTTTCACTGTTCCCACTTTCACTGCCTCAGTTAGGCCTTCATCATTTCTCACCCAACTGCCTCTGAACAATCACCAGAGTTACTCTTTGGAACAGGAATCAACAAACTACAACCTACAGGCTAGCCACCTGATTTTGTAAAGGAAGTTTTATAACAGCTCACCCACGCCCACTTATTTGTATATTGTCTGTTTCTGCTTTTGCACCACAGTGGCAGAGTTGAGTAGTAACAGACACCCCACAAAAGACCACAGCCTAAATTATTTACTGTGTGGCCCTTAAGAACTAGTTTGCCAACTCTTTCTCTAGATATCACTCTCTTGTCAGTTTATGTGTTCTACAAAATAAACTTAAATTCTTTATTTAAGATCTGCTGTAATTGAACCAACGCCTGTCTGTTCAGCCTCATCTTACCACTTGTACCACATCCCTTCCTTTCATCCTTCAGGATCAGCTCCATCACCCCCTTTTCCATGCAGCCATCATCCTCCTAAAGTTCTTGTTCTTCTCCTTCTCTCTCCATCTCCATGCCCCACAATCCTTCTCCCATAGGCTGGGTGATTTTTCTCATTGCATTTTTTCCAGATTTATTTGTTTTGTTTTGTTTTGTTTTGTTTTGTTTTGTTTTGTTTTGTTTTTGAGACAGAGTCTCACTCTGGCACCCAGGGTGGAGTACAGTGGTGCAATCTCAGCTCACTGCAACCAACGCCTCCCAGGTTCAAGCGATTCTCCTGCCTCAGACTCCTGAGTAGCTGGGATTACAGGTGTCCACCACCATGCCTGGGAAAATTTTTTTGTATTTTTCGTAGAGACAGGATTTCACCATGTTGGCCTGGCTGATCTCAAACTGCTGGCCTCAGACGATCCACCTGCCTCAGCCTCCCAAAGTGCTGGGATTGCAGGTCTGAGCCACCACACCTGACCCCAGATTTCTATTAAAGTACCTATCAAACTTTTTTATTGATAATTGTATATTATATATTGTGTATGTACATGTATGCGTGTATATATAGATAATCTAACATTAAAAGATTCCTTGGGAACAGCACAGCAATGATGTTTTCTTTCTTTCTTTTTTTTTTTTTTTTTGAGACAGGGTTTCACTCTGTCACCCAGGCTGAAATGTATTGGCACGACCTTGGCTCACTGTAACCTCTGCCTCTCAAGTAGCTGGGACCACGGGCATATGCCACCACACCTGGCTAATTTTTTTATTTTTATTTTTTGTATTTTTGGTAGAGACAGGGTTTTGCCATATTGTCCAGTCTGGTCTCAAACTCCTGAGCTCAGAAGATCAACCCACTTTGGCCTCCCAAAGTGTTGAGATTACAGGCGTGAGCCACCTTGCCTGGCCAACAGTGATGTTTTCTTACCCTTAGTCTTCTCAGTGCTTGGAATAGCGCCTAGCAATGTGAGATTTAAATAAATGTATCATGAGTTAATGTACCCTTTAATTAAACATTAACACCTGGTAAGCAGATTTTCTCTCTCAATATTGGTAATTCTCTATTCAAAAAGGAAATACAAACAGTAAACTGTTTTTTAAATTTTTAAAGTTCATAAAAAGAGAAATGAGGGAGGGAACTGAGGACAAGCTATTCCAGATATATAACAGATATATTTTTGTTCTCTGAAATAAAGTCCAAATTTGTCTGATTATATTTCAAAAATGGATAAATCTTTTTTCTTTGTTTACTCAACATGCAGTCCTTATGTTTCCCATAGTCATAAGAAATAAGTTCTTTTCCCATGTAACATTTTATTCTTCTCTGTTAGGTCATTTTTGTCCTTGGAGAAAGTGAAATTGATGGAAAATTTTCTGTCTTTCTAGGATTCTGTATAAGTGACTTGACCCTTTTCCAGCCTTTCATGACAGCATCTTCCATTCCTAATTCATCTCTACTCTTCTGTGTTATTTCTTTTTGCATATTGGTGTCTTATAATACTCTTCTTAAAATGGTAGAATGGGATTAATAATTTACTACCGCTTCCTCTAGACACAGTTTATCTCAAATATATGTTGTCATTTTTCCAAATCAAATTCTGAAACAGGTGTAATGTGTCTTCACACCTTTTCCATGCCATCACTCAGTCATTTGTCAGCTTCATCTGATTGCCTGCCAATGCCTTCTTTTCCCAGGCTTTCCCAGGGCACCTCACCCTCACCTGGCATTCCGCCCATCCCAGGACCTTCCAAGACTCAGCCTGATTGGGAAAGCATCTGGGGACTGGAGACCTTCATTACTCTTTTGGTTTTGGTTTTGGTTTTGGTTTTGTTTTGTTTTGTTTTGTTTTGTTTGTTTTGTTTTGTTTTGTGAGATGGAGTTTTGCTCTTGTTGCCCAGGTTGGAGTGCAATGGCGCAATCTTGGCTCACTGCAACCTCGCCTCACAGGTTCAAGAGATTCCCCTGCCTCAGCCTCCTGAGAAGCTGGGATTACAGGTGCCTACCACCACGCCCAGCTAATTTTTTATATTTTTATGGAGACAGGGTTTCACTATGTTAGCCAGACTGGTCTTGAGCTCCTGACCTCAGGTGATCCACCCGCCTCAGCCTCCCAAAGTGCTGAGATTATAGGTGTGAGCTACCGTGCCCAGCCTCTTTTTGTTTTTTAATTGTGCATAACATGAAATTTACCCTCTTAACCATTTTTAAGTATACAGTTCAGTGGTATTAAGTATATTCATATTGTCGCACTACCATTACCACCATCCACCTCCAGAACTTTTCCTTTTTTTGAGATGGGGATCCTACTGTATCACCCAGATTGGTCTTAAACTCATGTGATCCTCCTGACTCAGCCTCCCAAGTAGCTGGGACTACAGGCATGTGCCACCACATGTAGCTGATTTTAAAATAATTTTTTTTAGAGATGAGAACTCACTATGTTAGCAAGGCTGATCTTGAACTCTTGGCCTCAGCCCCTGAGTACCTGAGACTACAGGCGCAAGTCACTGTACCTGGCTCAGAACTTTTCTCATCTTCCTAAACTGAAACTCTGTGCCCATTAAACACTAATTCCCCATTCCTTTTACCCCGACAACCACTATTCTATTCTGTCTCTGTAAATTTGACCTTCATTGCCCTTGAAGTCACTGCCTGTGGGCAGCTGTGGGAAGGGCTTCTATCAGTCCTCCCAATCCTTCGAAATGATCAGTTAGTCTCTAGGGTATTTTCTGAGTACTCACGTGCTGGCAGCATGTGAGTACCACCAGCACAAAGGAAATTTGAGTGACAAAGAAGGTAAGTCCTGAGCTGGGTCGTTAAAAGAAAGTAGGAGTTATTTATCAGCTAAGGGAGAAAGAAGGTCTAGCAGGCCCAAGCTGTTAGGCCCTTAGATATGAATCAGAGAGGTATGTGAGAGGAACCACATCTTGTTCAGATGACAAGAGCAAAGAGTGTAGATGCAAAAACAAAGGTACGCATAGGGTTTCCTTAGATACTTTGCATTTATTATAAAGATACATGGGAATGTATCTTTATACATTCCCAGGGATGTCAGAGAAAACTAAATGCCTATTGAAATAATATCCCTGATCTGAAGATCTGGTTATTATAATTCTTGTGCAGTCAGAGTAGTCTTCCATGGCTACCTATGTTATGGTGGTTCAGCTCTGTGTCTGTGTCCACTGTCGCCCTTTAGTGGTTGCTCTCTTTGTCCATCTGACATTCAATCCCCTAAAGAAAGAGGCCAGCAAGAGTGCATGCAACAGAAGGCATCCCTGTCCCGGTCGGGCAGCTTTCTTGTGCCCAGCTGCCTCTGGACCACAATGCATCTTGCTCATTCCCAGAAAGTGGATACAGGGGTCTGGGGGCTCCAACTATGGGGACTGGAGCCTCAGCAGCTACTGGAGCTTCTTAAAAGAGATGGAGGTGGGCTCTTTCAGACCTGTACTACATAGAGGGCCAGTGGGAAAATGTGAATAGAGAGGTTTGTAAGAACCAGATCATGAGCAACAAACAGAGGCCTAAATTTATTGTTTGAGCTACTAAGAGGAAGAAACATGATCATTTATTTGCATTGAAAGAAGTTCATATTGGTAACTGTGCAAACTGAATGGAGTGGGATAAGAGACTGCTGGTGAGTTAGGAAAGCTTTCGCAATAATAATTGAACCAGGATATTGTATAAGCTCACCAAAGGTAATTGAAAAGAAAAAAGACCAGAGCCTGTGGCAGGGCCCTGGCCCTTCTAATTGCAACTATCTTTTTTACATGGAGATGGCCACTTCATAGTATTATAACTTAGCGTATTACTTGAGGGCTTTATGTGTAGTTACCCTAAAGGCAAATAAATGAAGAAAAGGAATTACCATTATTGATACCATCTTAAAAGCTATTATTATGTCTTTTGAGAAACATATGAGATGGAGTTAAGTGGATTAGTAACACAAGTATTTGTCCATTTTATTCAATTTGGTAAATGAGTTGGCTATTCTGACATTAGAGGAAAAAATTATAGTCCTTTATCAATGACAGTTAAATCTGATGCCTATTCTTGATCTATTTGGCTATATTTACAATTCAGGAAAAGGAGAGACCTACAGAATGGCGAGTATTCTGTCAAATACACTATCTGCCAACTATAGTTAAATCCATAGGTCACCTTTCCCACTTGTGTGTATGTGGAAAATCAACCCTTGTTTCTGCAGGAAATCCAGTCATGCCAAGCATGTAATGATATCAGTAGTCTTTACAGAGATTTGTGGGGTCATCTTGTGCGAGAAGGTCATATCACACAACCTGCAGCAGTTCTTTCTCACACCCATAAACACCCCTACCCTCCCCCGCAAACACCCCTACCCTCCCCAACACCCCTACCCTCACCCACAAACATCCTTACCCTCCTAACACCCCTACCCTCCCTAACGCCCCTACCCTCCCCCACAAACACCCCTACTCTCCCCATAAACACTCCTACCCTCCCCCACAAACACTCCTACCCTCCCCCACAAACACCCCTACCCTCCCCTACAAACACCCCATCCTCATCCAGTACTTCCACCCTCTCCAATCCCTGACCCTGTTGCTAGATTTTTTTCTTTCATTCTTTTTTTTTTTTTGCCTTCACTCAGCTCCTCTCTGGCTTCTCTCCTCACCAGTTTTAATTTTCATCCCTTTATTATCCTGAAGAATTTGCCGTTTTTTGTTTCCGAAGCCTGCCCTTTGGAAGATGCTCATAGTCCCCAAGGAACTTACTAGTGAACCCTCCCAGCACACGAAGGCCTGTCTCGCCACATCTTTGAACCAGCAACAACAAGATATCCTTGCACATTTTTATTATGCCATAGCATACAGACATTTTAGGGAAAACAAAAAGCAAAAAATGAAACAGAAAATACAGGGAAACCAAAAGATGAAGTACAGGTCTCTAATAAGTCCAAGTCCATCATCCGGGAAGTCCTCATTCATAACCCTGCTGCTGCATATATTCTGGGCGTTTTTCTGCTATATCACGAAATTCAGAAAGTAGTATTTTTTCCCAGTTTGTCTGAAACTGGCGACTTTTGGGGGAATGTGATTTGGGGTCCTGTCTCAATCATTGCCTTCCCACGTGACTTGCAGAAGCTGCATATACCCTCCTCTTATATGACGAGCTGCTGGAATGGTCTGATCGGCCCCTCAGGGAGTTCCTGACCTATCCCATGCAAACAGAATGGCAACGCAAAGAGCACCTGCACCTCACCATCATCCAGAACTTTGACAGAGGCAAAGTAAGTGGCCCTGCCCCACCCGGGGTCCCTCCTGGGGTGACGGTGTTGATGTCCCTTTTCCTTTCATTTCTAGTTTATGAAGCCCACCTCCTTGAGCAGGGACCCTCACATTTTAATGTATATTCGAAGTACCCAAAAGCTTGTTAAAATGCAGATTCCTAGGCCCCACTCCTAGCCATTCAGATTTGTGTCTTGTCTGGCACAAGGCTAGGAATCTGTGATTTTAACAAGGACCCTAGGAGAGTTCAGTGTGTAACCATTTCATTACACTTTGATAAATACCAATTTAGAGATTTTGATCCCCAGTAACTTAGTTCACTCCTGACTGCTTTAGCAAAATACCATAGACTGGGTAGCATATAAACAGCAGAAATTTATTTCTCAGTCTGGTGAGGGCCATCTTGCTGTGTCTTCACATGGCAACATAACTCTCTGGGGCTTCTTTTATAAGGGCACTAATGCCAATCATGAGGGCTCCACCTTCATGACCTAATCACTTCCAAAGACCCCATTTCCTAATACCATCACCCTGGGGGTTAGGATTTCAACATATGAATTTGCAGGAGAACCAAACATGCAGACCATAGCACCCAGGTATTCTCTGAAAAACCATTATCACCCTTCACACTCTCCTGAAATTGGCATGCATTCTGACTCATTCTACTTTACGGTAAAATATGTGAAACTTAATTTGTTCAAAGAATTTTGTGGCATCCCATCGTGTACGTAAGAGATGTATTGGGATGTTGAAGAAACCTCACTGGCCTAATAAAGCAATTCAGTACAACACCTCCCTCCACTTTCCCCCCCTTCTCCAAGGGCTTGTAGTACTCTTTTAAAAAATTAGTGAATCTGACCACCATTGTTCGTTGGATTTGAACACTTGGATGCTTTGGTGGCACATGTCTTAGACTTAAATATATCTTCCAAATTGCAAAGGTTAAACAGAAAATTAAAATACAACCAATGGCTATCATTCATTTACAAAATATAATTGGGCACACATAAAAATTTGATACAAGGAAATTGATTCTTTAATATCTTCCTTTATTATTTAGTTACACTGACATATCATCAGATGAATAGCAAAAGAAATGTTTTTGTGCCCTCCTGCTGTCAAGTTTCCACCTGTGAGATAAGGTGGCACAAACTCTCTGAATTCAATTATTGGCCCATTCCCAGGAATTTGTGCCAGACTAGGGGTTGCAAGCTATGGTCCACAGGTCAAATGCTCACTGCCTGTTTCTGTACAGCTCCAAAGCTACAAATGTCGTTTACATTTTTAAATGGTTGAAAGAAATCAAAGGAATCATAACATTTTGGTACATGTGAGAATGATATGAAATGCACATTTTAGTGGTCCTGAATTCTGTTGGAACACAGCCATGCTCATTTGTGTCTACGGCTGCTTTGGTGCTATAATAGCAGAATTGAGCAGTTGTGACAAAGACTATATGGTCCTCAGAGACTAAAGTGTTGACTTCCTAGCCTTTTGCAGAAAACATTTGCTGACACCTATGCTAGATCAAAGAATTTTTGCATTTCTGCTGAGAGTAACCAGCTGGGTTAGACCTCACAATTTGCAAACACAAGTAAGCTAAGCAAGGAATCCAGGGTACTAATCACAAATAATTGGGCATTAGAGGTCAGTGGTAATTCTCTCCTCTGCACCGAGGGCCTGTTTAGAGCCATGTACTTGGCCATTTTGAAACTATAGTTATTTCAAGATGATGATTCTGGAATGACACCAGAAAATGTTGTTCATGTACCATATATTAATGACTGTTGTGGTAGATTATGATTTCCAGCATTCAAAGGATTTTTAATAATTTACATTTTGATTACATGTTGTTTTCAAGATTAAAGTCTCAATGATACAATTAAAGGTATGTTATAAAGATTAAGGAGTAAGGCTTGGTGCTCTAAAAGCACTCATGTTCTGACTTTTGGGTAGAAGTAAGTGAATGTTGTCGGATGGTTCCACTGATATCATTCATTTGTCCACAGTGCTGGGAGAATGGCATCATCTTGTGCCGAAAGATTGCAGAGCAGTATGAGAGTTACTATGACTACCGAAACCTGAGCAAGATGCGGGTAAGGTGCCTAGATGAATCCTGATCAGGCCATAGCCTCTCTTTGTGATTAGCTTTCCAGTGTGGTTCTACGAAATTAACTTTGTGGTCTTGCAGAAACCTTTTTTAAGATAAGTGTTTCCTCTGAAGCATACTCAGCTATTTATACAGAGAAATAGCAAACTGATTTGTGTAATGCTTTTATTTAATATACAAAAAGCACTTGATCTGTTTTAAACATCACGTATGAAATATACAATCTAATCCAGGATTAATACTTTGTTTATTGTGGAAAATCTCTACCCTTGTTTAAAGAGTTTCTAGTTATACATAAGTTTCTGTAGCAGTATACCATTCTTAGTCCCATAATCTGCAAATCTGTAGGAGTGGCTGACCCATTTCTAAGTAATTTAGGGCCAAATTCTGTAGGTGTCACCTCTCTTTAGCTTCAGCGGTGTATTTTTATTTACTAGACTTAGCTTGAGGTTTTATAGTACCTAAGAGCTTAAGGAGTTGAGTGTTCTCTTTCTCTAAACCAAATGTCTTATAACTGCTTTGCTCTGAGGTTCAGACAAGTCCTCCCTGCCCTCCAAGTCCTTACCCTTTTAGCGAAACGAACATTTGTGTTATCTTGTAATACACAAGATCCTGCTGACTGCTTAAGTTCTTAGGGGTTTCTAAAATAGGATCATCAGTTTTTATACATTATAAAAAAAGATTACAATATTGCCTTTTGAGGTAGCCATTTAAGAGTGAATACCATAAACCTGTAACCGCTCATAAAATCCCTTATATCCCAACAAGGAATTTATTCAACTGGCAGGAACTGACTCCATCCTTTTGGCACAGAATTTCATGTCAGCAGTTCATCGATACTTCTCCTGAAATGAAAATGAAAGAGAAAAAACTTGTTTTAACTTCAGTCCATCATGTTGACTCTGGCAGGCACTGCAGTTTTATATAAAAACATTGCTGTTCATCTCTTGGCATCCTGTCCCAGTAACAGAAGCGAGGTGATGATGTTTACTCGTGAGAGCCCTTGGGTGCCATAGTCACTAAGATTTTTATAAACCCAAAGCATTACACTTCTTGCCAACTGCTCTTTGGGGTGCTGTTACTAGATGGAGGATAGAGGGGGAGTCTTCAAATGTAATATTAGTCTTTCTCTGGAAACCCTGGGGATGATAATATCATGAATGGGAAACCATAAGGTTTATATGCTTCATAGTTTCAACATTGTCAGGCGCACTTAAGAGCTTTCAGCTCAGACAGCACTTTGCACTATGAGTCTGCTTTGGTTTGTTTTATCTTTGCCCAACCTGTGCAAGATTGCACCTTCCAAATGTCCTGAGTACCATGTGCCAGGTGGAAGCAAACTCACAGGTAAGTACATCTGGCACGAGAATTCTCTAGAAAGGTTTTGCCTCTAATAGTTCATGTTAATTTCTACTTAATTGTGAAGGAAATATTTTTCTTGATAGACTACATGCATAGAAATAATTTTTCCCTGGTGATAACATATGATAATACACTTGATCCTTTAAAGCAGGGGTCAGCAAACTGCAGTCTGTGGGCCTAGCAGAATTAAGTAGTTGTGCTGAGACGATATGGCCTACAAAATATAAAACAGTCTCCGGACATTCATAGAGGAAATTTGCCAATCCCTGACTTAAAGCATCAAAAAGAAAGCCAAACTTTCTTTTCAGCAAACTCGCTTAAAATAAAGTTCTCCTTTATATAAAAAAGAAACCTTGTCCTATGAATTTGATAGAAGTGAAAGATGAGATAAAATGCTTAGACCTTTTCCTGTGCTTTCTAGATGATGGAAGCCTCTTTGTATGACAAAATTATGGACCAGCAACGTCTTGAACCAGAGTTCTTCAGAGTTGGATTTTATGGAAAAAAATTTCCATTTTTCTTAAGAGTAAGTAATATACTATTTAATTTGCTTTCATAGTTCTCATATAGATATCCCAATCAAGAAAACTCAAATGTTAATGACATTTTATATGACAGGTAATAATATTCATGAGACTTTTTTTCAACTTTTACTTTGCAGACACACTGTATTAATCTAGAATGCCTTGTTTTAAGTAATTTCCAAGATGGCAATCAACCCCTTCCTAAATTTAGTATATTTTGTGAGCAGTCTTTGATAATTATAGTTTCCCTCGTATGATATCCACTATTTTAATTCAGTCTGCGATTTCCATCAAGTTAGTATCAGAGAAAAAACGGTGGGGCGCTTCAGGAGTTTTGGAGTTGCAGAGTATAGAAAACCATGCAGTTTCACATCATGTGAAAACCCTTCCCTCCTCCACCATATAAAGAGTATTGTTTGGCTATTTTGATGAATTTGTATAAAGATAAATGTCACCCAGCAAAAAGACCCAATTTATTGCTAGTATAAACTCCATTTCTACAAAGGGAAAATTTTCAGACATTCTATGATACTTACAAGATGATAAAATATTCACCGCCATTATTTTCATTTTTCACATTCTGCCAAGTAGTGTCTTCTATGTTTGAATGTTTATTGAACACTTCAGTATGTATACCTTCCTTGTAAAAAAAAAAAAAAAAATGCTTAAAAGAACATATGTAATTCCCCAAGCAACTAAGGAAAGGTATCTGGGATAATTTCTAAAATTGAATCAATTTGTTACAACTTTAGTTCTCAATATACAAATATTTTGATGTTTGTGTTTACCTAAGTCTTACGTAACTGTCAGCACATATGACCGGATAGTAGGATGGGTGTACTGGCAGGAGAAGAGAAAACGGAAAGATTTCACTTTATTGTTTGTTTACTAATCATTAACTTACCTGCCTTTCAGAATGAAATAGATAGATAGGTACATCCAAAAATAACCAGTACAGGTTTGTTTTAGTATCACACGGAACAAATGTTTTCTTTAGTGGATTGAAATGGCCATGCATTCAGGTACTACACAGACACAGTGAGAAATCTCCTTGTTTCATTAAGAGAGACTCCACACAGTGTTGTGTGTGGTCACAAAGCTGACTCTACATGTGGGCCTGCCTAAAAATAGAGGAAATCTTGAATCCTGATCAAAAACAGCAGCAAGTGGGCACAGTAGCAAACTGTAATCCCAGTAACTTGGGAGGCTGAGATAGGAGTATCACTTGAGCTCAGTTCCAGACCAGTCTGACCCCAAAGGAAAAAAAAATAAAAAAATGGCAAAATCAGAATAGATGTTGAATTAAAAAGGCTACGTTTTGGAGGTGTAGCTGGTCCCAAGCTGTTCTGAGCATCTCCGCTAAGCACTGCAGGTGGCCTGGATCCAGCTTCTGAGTGGAGCAGCCGACAGACTGGAGCTGTAGCCACACAGAGGGCTGGGGATTGCATGGCGGGGTCTAGATGAGACTCTGCCGCCATAGGTCGTCTCCCTCTGTTAGCACAAACAGACATGACTCTGTTGACAGAGCCACGTCTGAAAGATTATAATTAAAAGTATAAAGTTTAAAAAAATTAGAAGTAGTTTAAGAGTAATCATTTTAAAGACAGTTTAGCAAATTGGAAACCTGCATTAGCTAAGAGAATAAATTTTTTAAAAAAAAGTCAATTAGAATAAATCAATCTTCTATATCATCCTTCTTTTATAAATAGCTTTCCTGGGTATAAATGGCATTTTCTTCTAAATGAAAGAGAAGGGTCCCCCTCTGTTGGTTTCTAAAGGGCACTACACTCTTCAGAATCACTGAGCCTGACCTTTTTTTAAGGAATCAGATTCTAGTCTGTCCCTGGATTTAAAAACAAACAAATATCAACATTAAAAACTTCCTTTTGGCCAGGCACAGTGGCTCACACCTGTAATCCCAGCACTTTGGGAGGCGAAGGTAAGAGAATTGCATGAGGCCAGAAGTCTTATGTCGTTTCATCAATTTCCAAGATAATTTTTAAGAGTCAAATAAATACATTTATACAATTTTATGATCTAAGTAGGGTTTTTTCTCCCCATGGAAGATGGGCTATTTGGCTGGGCATGGTAGCTCATGTCTGTAATCACAGCACTTTGGGAGGCCAAAGCCAGAGGATCACTTGAGCCCAGGAGTTCAAGACCAGCCTGGGCAACATAATGAGACCCTGTCTGTACTAAAATTTTTAAAAATTAGCCAGGTTTGGTGGCATGCACCTGTGGTTCCAGCTTTTTGGGAGGCTGAGGCAGGAGGATTGCTTGAGCTCAGGAGTCAAGGCTTCAGTAAGCTGTGACTGAGTCGCTGCACTCCAGTGTAGGTGACAGTTGAGACCCTGACTGTCTCAGAAAAAACGAAGAAAAGAAAATGAGTTATTTTTAAAATGTTGAAAAATATGACCCAGGAGTTCTACTTTTATATACATACTAAAGAAAGTTGAAAATATATATTCACACAGTTACCTGTACCTGAATCTTCATAGCAGCATTATTCATAATAGCCAAATTGTAGACACTCCCCAAATGTCTATTAACTGATGAGTGTCTATTAACCGATTAAACAAAATGCAGCATGATTATGCAATGATACTCAGCAATAAAAAGGAAATACTTATATGTGCTACAGAATGGATGAACTTTAAAAATATTAAGTAAAAGAAGCTAGTCACAAAAGGCCAGCCACGTTGTATAACTCCATAATAGGCAAATCCATACAAACAGAAAGTAGTTTTGAGCTTGCGGGGGCTGGGGGAAGGGTAAGTAGGAAGTGACTGCTAACCGGTAGAGGATTTCTTTTTGATATGATGACAAGATTCTGAAATTAAATTTTGCTAGTCATTGCACAACAGTATAAATATACTGAAAACCACTGAATTGCACATTTTTAAAAGGTAGATTTTGTTGTATATGAATTATAGCTCAATAAAGCTATGATTTTTTTCAGGAAAAAAAAAAGAGCACTGATAAGGAAGACGCTTTATTTCCTGGAAACCCAAATATCAGATCCCAAACTTTATTTTAAAATGGCTTCTTAATACCATTGAATGCCTGTATTCTTAGAGTAACTGCCCCAATTTTTACAAACTGTTATATATAAGCATTGTTTTAAAATATATTTCATTTACTAGGATATTTAAATATTTCCTTGGGGGCTCCTCTAATAGGCAGAGAGGGAGGTATTGTCTTTTATTTTACCAAGCAAATTAATTATCTTTTGAGTAGAATTTTTAAAATACAGCTTCAGAAATTGTAACTTTTATCTAGAAAGTTTTATATAGAATTGTATGGGGTCCTCCTATAAGGACACGTGCACACGAATGTTCATTGCAGCACTGTTTACAATAGCAAGGACCTGGAAACAACCCAAATGCCCATCGATGATAGACTGGACAGGGAAAATGTGGCACATATGCACCATGGAATACTATGCAGCCATAAAAAACAATGAGTCCGTGTCCTTTGTAGGGACATGAATGAACCTGGAAACCATCATTCTCAGCAAACTGACATAAGAGCAGAAAATCAAACACTGCATGTTCTCACTCATTGGCGGGTGTTGAACAATGAGAACATATGGACACAGGGAGGGGAGCATCACACACTGGAGTCTGTTGAGGGGTCTGGCGGGGAGTTGGGGAGAGATAGCATGGGGAGAAATGCCAGATATAGGTGATGGGGAGGAAGGCAGCAAATCACACTGCCACATGTGTACCTATGCAACAATCTTGCATGTTCTTCACATGTACCCCAAAACCTAAAATGCAATTAAAAAAAATATTTAACAGAAATCCAAATAAAAGAGAAAAAGAGCCTTATTATAATCCTTAAAAAGAAAGAATTGTATGGGGTCCTCAATTCTAGGTAGTGTCTGCCTTAGCCTTGTGTTTTCCCAAAGATCACGATTTATTTAGGGGTTTGTGGGGAATCGAGGTGAGTTATCAGCCCAGTTCCTGCTGCATTTCCTCTCCCTGCCTGCAGCTGCTCTTTCTCTGCAGAAGAACTGAGCCTCTGCCCATGACTTGTTTCTCACTCCCTCACTGTGGCCTGGAGTTCCTCTTTATGGCATTTTACATGAGAACCTCACAGAGCTGAAAACCTTGAGCCTCGGCTTCTCTAGGCCCCAAACTGTTCTCCCTTTAACTTGAAGCTCTTCAGGGCCTGAGATCCCACAAGCTTTCTTGGTCTTGGTAGCTCCTAGGAGTTTTTCCTGCATACACTAGGCCATGTTCAGAGTAGACAGAGTCCAAGGTTTGGACTCAGACCAGAATTTCAATCTACTACACGTGGACAAAGTACTTCAAGACATTAGGCCATGGCGCGGCATGGTGGCTCACACATGTAATCCCAGCACTTTGGAAGGCCGATGCAGGTGGATCACTTGAGGCCAGGAGTTCAAGGCCAGCATGGCCAACATGGTGAAACCCCATCTCTACTAAAAATACAAAAATTAGCCAGGCATGGAGGTGCATGCTTGTCATTCCAATTACTCAGGAGGCTGAGGCAGAAGAATTGCTTGAACTCAGGAGATGGAGGTTGCAATGAGCCAAGATCATTACCACTGCACTCCAGCTGGGGCAACAGAATGAGACTCCATCTCCAAAAAAAAAAGGAGTTTAAGCCTTGGTTCCCCAATTATAAAATGGGGCAGGGTGGGGAGTGGGACTATTTCTCAAGCTTGTATGAGTTAAATAAGACGTGCAGTGTGCTTCATCAATAACTCTGCTCAATTACAATTTCATTATCATTAAAATGTCAGAGATCCATCATATCTAATCAGATCATTCAGGTACTTTTTGGAAACCTGCCCATCTTTCCAGCTGTCTTAACCTACCTGAAAAATAATCTTCGCCATTCTTACCTGAAGGAGAGCATCATGAATGGCAGAATACTCATCCATGCGTACATACATATGTACACACATCACACACATGCAAACAAAAAGCAGACAAAAAATTTACTTTCTTTTCCTCCAAATTGTGAAATTACCCACATGAATTTGATATGTACTTTATAAAAATAATCTTTACACATGTGCCTATTACCATTTGGAGGGAATACAATTGTTTTGTTTTCATACTTTGGTGCTCTGAGAATCCACCTCTTTGCTCCTTGTGCAAGTGAACCGGGAAGAGTGAGGTATTCTATTGGGTTTTATTAAATGCCGTCGAGAGTGAGCTTATGATCTGTATCTGCATTTTTAATCATTGGGCAAACTTTTCCGATTGTTCCGGTGTATGTTTTGTTACAGTGTATCGGTATGGGGCATGTGCTCAGTTATTGCCAGTCATGTTTTTTGGCTCTGTTGTAATTAATGCATTCAGTTATATAGCCCAAATTTCTTTTTCACTTTCATCTCCAGAATAAGGAGTTTGTGTGTCGAGGGCATGACTACGAGAGGCTGGAAGCCTTCCAACAGAGAATGCTGAACGAGTTCCCCCACGCCATCGCCATGCAGCACGCCAACCAGCCTGATGAGACCATCTTCCAGGCAGAAGCTCAGTGTATCCGCACCTCCAAGGGCTGGACTCAGTGAGATTGCATTGGCTCTCAGCTGCAGAGCATTTGCATGCAAGGTTGTTCAGCCACCAGTCCCTTTTCCATAGCCACGTCCTTACTGCTCCCTCTTTCCCGTCATCTTAAGTTTAGCTTAACTCTTTCTGAATAGAACTTAATTGTTCTATTTATTATCATGATGTCAGTCGAAAGAAATCTCTTAAAAGACTTTTTCCCTTTTTATTAAACCTCTTATATAGCTCAACCCTGCTTTTAAAGCTCTTTTTTAGTGATTTCCTTCAGAATAATTTTCCTTTGACATATCCTGTGGAAACGGCTTCACTTCCAGAAAATCGTAGCATTGTGTTTACTGGTACATATGATTTGCCCCTTTCCCTGCCCTGATATTTTTATTCTAGGATGAGGAATGGAAGAGAAAGAGGTACTCCAGTATCTTTTGGGGGCTCTTAGCTGTGACATCCTGAACAGCCCTTAATAATTGCTGTATAATTCATACTCTCATTGTCTAAACACAGACAACTGAGCTGAAATCACATAGGTGTTAGAGACTAAGGCAATTCACCCAAGCACTCTTTTTTGACCCCCTCTGCCTTTTCCTGAAACTGATGATCTTAAAAAAACACCTAAAGCTTCCACTGACAATTATGAATACCATTTCAAAGCAGAAACCAAAATGCAAGACATGCAAGAAAGTACATAGGAAAAATATTTTGCTCTCTTTTTTTAATGAGGAGGTAAATATACAAGTTAATATGATACCCCTTTAGTGTAATTTTTAAAAATATAAACTATAACTAAACACCCTGCGTATCAATACAAGATTTGGGAGAGCAGTTATCACAGATGTGGGAAGGCTAGGGACACAGAAAATCACACAGGTATATGTAAGTCATTGTCAGTGTTCAGGTTTTTGTCTTTTGTCATGGTTGCATAGGTATTTATATGTTATTATAAGCAAATAATAAATTTAAATGGGTCATGCATAGACTGAAAGATGTCTCATGAACAATGATTAGGATCATCCTAATTCTTAGTACCTAAAACCCAAACGATTTTGATCTTCCCCCACATAAAAAAAAAAAAAAAAAAAAGAGTGATATCTAAATCCACAGGTCATGGAAATTTCAAGCTGGTACTTCACCTACCTAGAACTAGTTCGAGACCTGTAGTTTGAGATGGGATTTGCCAGAACTGAGTTCTTGGCATCTTCTTGGTAATTTTTTAAATGACTTCAACTGAAATGGAAAGAGAAGATTGTTACCCATCTTCTTCTCTCTGCCGTAGCTCAGCCCAAGCCAGACTTCCATGGAGTTTGCCAAGTCAGGTTCTCTCCTTGACTCTTTAATCCTAGATTTGCAGATATATGCGGTGACTCCCATTCCGGAGAGCCAGGAGGTCCTGCAGAGAGAGGGTGTTCCGGACAACATCAAAAGTTTCTATAAAGTGAATCACATCTGGAAATTCCGCTATGACCGACCTTTTCACAAAGGCACAAAAGATAAAGAGAATGAATTCAAGGTACCATACCACTCTTATTAAATGCCAACTCCTCAGACTGCGAGCCCCTTGGGGTGTGACCCTTGGTAAATATTTACTCAGACTAGTGTCAAGTAGCAGAAGGGACTATATAAATCATTTAGTCTACTGGTTCTGCAACTCCACTGTGTATCAGTGACATGGAGTGCTCCCTAACCAGGCAGATTTCTGGTGCCCAGCTCAGGAATTCTGACTCAGTAGGTCTGGGAGGAGGTCCTAAAATAAAATTCTAATTCTGGTGGTTCTCAGAGCAGTCTTTGAGAACTCATGGTTGAAGTCAGTCATTCATTATGTCGAACCAATTGTGGGAACCTTAAGATGTTTATTTTCACATAAAGTTCAACGAATAAAGAATACTTAATGAACAGAGAAAAAGAAGAACAGTTGGATAGGCTGCTGGTACAGTGGGTAAGTTATGTGCCATCTTTTCCTGCTTGTTCTTATTAGAACAGTGTGTCATTTGGACTTCTCAGGACTCTGGGTAAAGGCAAATCTTGGATTCTTTGTGTGTGTTGAGTTCTCTGCTCTCAGTAGTTGCAACATGCCTTCCTACTTCAGCGCCCTCTCAGCCAGAAAGGGACAAGGTTTCTCATAGCCCCACTGCAGAAAAGGGGCAAGACTGTTCAGCAGATAAAATTGAGTCTGCCCCCTTCTTTGCAAACAATGACATAGTAAGACCCCCCAGTTTGTATTTCACACCAGAACAAAGAAGGCAAAATTAGCTTATTTTTGTGAGTGAATTAATTGGCTTAGCATTTTTCATCACAGATGTTCTCCACTTAAGCTAGGAAATGTGCTCCTAACACGATTGTCTCATATTCACTCACGTGGTCGGCTCTGCCTGTGTCAGTTTCCAGAACTCCCAGAAGTATTTCCAGGAATTATTATTCACCACCAAGAGATGTTCAGAAGGGGAAGGTTTTCAGAGTTAAGACGGGATTGAATGTAGAGCAGTCCCTTGTGCGCGGAGATTTGATGGGCTAAACATCAAGGCAAGGGGCCACTGGAAAACAGCAATGGCATAGGAGTAAAAAGATCTGTGATCATTTTCTTGTTTTTTTCTGGAAACTTACATTTTTCTTTTTGCCTTCCGTAATCAATTAAGGATATAGCTAGTTTATGATCCAGTTCTCCTTGCAGTTGCTTTTAGTGAAAACATAGTCAAAAATCCACTGAAATCAGGCGAAAGTTACCTTCTAATTACCAGTAGTTTCAATTCTAAAACGCATTTTCCAACTCCTCCTCAATTGTTTTTTTTTTTTTTTCCACCACACGACATTTCCTTGTGGCTGTCACTTTAAATTAGTATCCCTGGTACAGCAATCCCCCTAAAAAAAAACAATAATAATAAATCTGGCCCCAGATTTATAGCCCTCAGAATCTGGCTCCAAACCACCCCTCCAGAAGCCTCATCTCCACCACAACCCACTCACCCCTCCTCCCTCTCAGCCTCCTCTCTTCCTCTCCTGCCACGCCCTTTTGTAAGCCGCTCCTCCTGCCAGCACCGCCACCCGCTCTCTCCTCCTGGCAAACTCCTACTCACTCCTCAGAATGCAGCTCACGTGTCGCCCCCTCTGAGAACTGCTGTCCTCCTCCCCGAGGCTGGCGTGTGCGCCTGCATCCTCCTCTGTTGGCCCCCAGAGCCTTGAACATCCCTTTCTCTTCACTCTGAGCTCTTATTCATCTGCTTACCTCCCTGTCACCACCAGAACACTGCGAGCTCTTGTCACAGGATCCCTACCCTATTCATCTCAGCACAGCTTGGCTGGCCCAGAGAAACTCTTCCTTCTTTTTTGTTGTGGTTTGAGTAAATGGCACTATTTCAGAAATTTTGTAAGTTGTATTATCCTCTTGGGAATATGCTTGGTTTAAGTAAGAACGATGAGGCATAGATACTAAAACCTGGTTGACAAAAAGAAACCTGTCATCAACAGCAGCTTGTACCAAAGGCGGCGTGGTTTCACATGTCCTGGGGTTGCTCTCCCTGGCTTTAAAATACAGATTTGCCTCTATTAATAGCAGTCCAAACAATCCCAAGAAAATGTGGCAAGTAGATTTAGCAAGAGAGGAGGAGTCAGAGGTCCTAGTGGCTAGGTTCTAATGCTGGCTCTATCAGTAGTTAGAACGTAGCTTTTGAGTAAGTCACATTGCTGCTTTGAGACCTAGCGTCTTCCTGTTTAAGACAGATCCTGCCATGTGGTTCCTAAAGCCCTTTCTTCCCTTAGGACTGTGCTATTCTCATCTTACATTAACTGGATGATACATTGACTGGCTGGCCCTTCTAGATATTAATGGCTAGATGTTAAGGAGTGAAGAGAGTCTACATTAGAATTTTAGTGAAATAGCAAAGAAAATAACATAATAGTGTATTTTTGTGTTGTTAAGCTTGCTGTTTGAAGTAGGAGCCCATTTATTTCACTCGGAAATAAAGTTTGATGATATACAGTGGAATTATTCAAATAAGCTTCAGCAATATCTCACTGTGGTAGTTGCATGGGTGCTTGAATGAAGACTAAAAGGCCGACAGGAGTAAGCAAAACCTGGTAACAGTGAGTGACAAACACTAGTCATGGAAGGGCAACCTGAGGTACCTAATTTGTTTTGTGTTTTGTAGAGTCTCTGGGTGGAGAGAACGTCATTATACTTGGTGCAGAGTTTGCCCGGCATTTCTCGCTGGTTTGAGGTGGAAAAGCGTGAAGTGGTAAGGATCAGAGCTTACGCTCAAATACTTTCTCATCACAGTTGTTCACTTAGAGTTGTGCTGTATGTTCATTACTTCTCCTTTGACCCAGATTCCCTGGAAGCACTCATAGTAAAATAGTGCATGTTGATGGTATTGACCACTATTGCCAAGGCTGAGAAGGTAAATATTAATATTGTCCTAATGTGACCAGATGGAGGGATTTCTTGAAACAACTCGATTTGCTACATGTAAAAAGAAAACTACTCAGGCCCTTGAGTTAGAAGACTTGGAATTCCAGCTCTCCTAATTACTATAGCAGTGTGAGCTTCAATGCTTACTGTGTCAGACCAGTGCTAATACTAACTGCTTTATCTTATTTAATCATCCTATCAGGGCTGTGAGGTATACATTCTTGTTCCTGTTTTAGCAATTTTTGACAAGAGGTCAAAGGCCTTTACCAGAGATCACATAGCAAGATGTTGAAGAGAAACTCCAACCCAGATCTTTCTGATTCCAAAGCCAGTTACATTGATCTCTTCTAGCCATGGTTCTTACAGGCAGGAGAAGGCTAATGTCCAGTCTCTGCACACTGCCGATGCACAGCAAGTCCATGCTGTTACAGTTCCCGGTAGAAAGGAGGGCAGCATGTTAGTCTCACTGGGCAGTCCTGGGTGGAGCAGCAGCAGTAGAGCAGCGGGTGCCACTGCAGAACCTGGTAACCACAGCTCCCAAGAACCTTCTGGTTGTAAATGTGGCCCCAGCTCCAGTCCCCAGTTGTGGAGAGCAGGGAGAGCAGGAGTGGAAGGCAGCCACCTCCAGGGTGGGACTGCACCCAGCTCCCTATGCTGCTCTTCCAGCTGACAGCACCTCGATGTCAGCCACAGCCCTGCAATCTCACAGCCTCCCTTGCTACATCTATTATAGCCATGTATTAACTTTATTTCACTTGGTGTGAATGTTCATGTGTTTCACTGCAGAAATATTAATGTGTTTGTTTTTGAGCCTGGGTCTCACCATTTCATTGCCATAGTTCTCTGATAGGAAGTGTACCAGTTGTGCAAATACGTCATTCATACCTTATTTAGGTCTCAAGCCTATCCTGTCAATGCAGAAGAATGAACAGCTCCTGACCAAATTGTTTTTCAAGAATTGCTTGTCCTACCTGAAATGTCTCAGCATTGAAACTACCCTCAGCTTATCATGTTCAATTAGGCTAAGGATTTAAAAATTTAAACTCTATTCAGCAGATTACATCAGTACAGTTGTCTTCTTGTCCAGTCTGAGTTCCAGGATCCCCAAAAGCTGGTTGCTTACATTGTCATGCCCTGGTACCTTCCATGGAAGAGGGGAGACTGCTAAATGCAGTTCTCAAAAATTATTATTATGCTTCCCGCTGAATGGCATGGGTCCAGCTCATAGAAGTGTTCTTAGTCATCCATATTGCATTAATGATTCAGAGAGCCTTTGCAGCTACTTACTACCCAGAGCATTAAATTCTGTGAAGTCTCACCAATGGCCCTGGCCCTTGGAAATGCCATACACACATACACGCAATGCTAATAAAAAATAGCATGCTGATAATGACAAAAGGAGTATTACTAAACACAGCCTTTCAAACATCAGCTGCCTACTTTATTGGAATATGTAATCTTATGTTCCATCAAACGGAACAAATCAAACTTGGCTGTTTTGTTCCCTGAACATAGCCCACTCTTAACAGCCTTTGTGTTTCTCTCTTGTTCTTGCTGCCTAGAATGTCCTCACTGTCAGTTATTGGTTTACTGGTTTAACTCCTAGTGTAGAAGATCTTCAAGAACAGGGACAGATAGGAGGTACTCAATACAAATACGCCACGTTAAATCGAAATTCCTCATCTGCAGATGCCAACATCTGAAAACCAAGAGATGTTTTTATTCGTTTGGCTCCAAAGCTCATTTGCTAATACCACAACCAAGCTCTTCTATTGCAAGGCCATTTATTAGCTTTATTTCACTTAGTGTGAATGTTCATGTGTTTCACTGTAGAAATATTAATGTATTTGTTTGTTTTTGAGACTGAGTCTCGCTCTGTCACCCAGGCTGGAGTGCAGTGGTAGGATCATGGCTCACTGCAGCCTCAACCTCCCAGACTCAAGCAATCCTTCAACCTCAGACTCCCAAATAGCTGGGACCACAAGCATGTGTCACCACAACTGGCTAATTTTCTGATTTGTTGTAGAGATGAGGTCTCACAATGTTGTTCAGCTAGTCTCAAACTCCTGGGCTCAAACAAGCCTCTGGCCTTTGCCTCCCAAAGTGTTGGGATTACAGGCATAAACCACCACACCCGGCCTTATTAATGTAATGCATTCGATTAAAGGAAACTGCCCTAAATCCTGCTGGGGGTATATACCATGCATGCCCTATATTGCCTTTTAAACTCTGAAAAGTTCTTAATTCTGAAACATGTGGTACCAAAGGTTTCAGATGAAGTTGGAGACCTTTATTTTCTAAGTCATAGACCCCCCCCCGCAATAGCTTATCAAGTTTTGTTAAGATACCAGTGCCTTTGAACTGTTGTGTTGCCTCTGTAGTTTATTTGATTCTGTTTTCAAAACCAAAAAAGTGCTTTTTTGTCCGGATTAAGAAGTAAGCTCATTTCAGCTGGGCGTGGTGGCTCACCTGTAATCCCAGGACTTTGGGAGGCCGAAGCGGGTGGATCACCTGAGGTTAGGAGTTTATGACCAGCCTGGCCAACATGGTGAAACCCCATCTCTACTAAAAATACAAAAAATTAGCCAGGCTGAGCTAAGATCGTGCCACTGCACTCCAGCTGGGACAAGTGCAAAATTCAAATAAGCTCATTCAAATGTTTTTAATCAAGGCAAATATTTATAGTTTAGAATTCATAAATTATTTTTTAAATCCAACTAAAGATCATGAAAAGATTGTCATACCACATCCTGCCCCTCAGAAAACAATGTACCTTTACTTTCTAAATACTGTGTAACCAGAATCTAATCTCTCCTCAGCCCCCCTGCCAATAGCGCCACCTAGTGCCCAATCATTGCAGTAGCCTCCTAAAAGGTTTGCTTTCCCCCTTACATGGCAGCCAGTGACCTTTTTGAATTTAAGTTATAGCATACAAAAATAGAGAAAATATATAATGAACCTGACTTACCCATCATTACTTCAACAGCCATCCAAAAGGTCAATTTTATTTCATCTGCCCGTCTACCTGCTCCCTCTCGACTATTTTTGAAGTAAATCTCAGACATCATATCACTTCATCTACAAATACTTTAGTATTCATATTTTTTAAAACCTGCACCAGGCGCGGTGGCTCACGCCTGTAATCCCAGCACTTTGGGAGGCTGAGGTGGGCAGATCACCTGAGGTCAGGAGCTCGAGACCAGCCAGACCAACATGGAGAAACCCCGTCTCTACTGAAAATATGAAAAATTAGCTGGGCATGGTGGCACATGATTGTAATCCCAGCTACTTGGGAAGCTGAGGCAGGAAAATGGCTTGAACCTGAGAGGCAGAGGTTGTGGTGAGCCAAGATCACACCATTGCACTCCAGCCTGGGCAACAAGAGTCAAACTCTGCCTCAAAAAAAAAAAAACAAAAAAAAAACCCTGCAATATTACTGTCACATTAAAATTTAAGAATCCCTTGATCAAAAAAAGTTCATTCACACTTCACCAAGTCTTTTATTCTACATTTTAGACCAGCCTGGGCAATGTAGTGAGACATTGTCTCAACAAAAAATTAAAAAAATTAGCCAGCCTGGTGGCACATGTCTGCAGCCCTGGCTACTCCAGAGGCTGGGGCCAGAAGATCACTGGAGCTAAGGAGTGCAAGGTTACATTGAACTATGATCATACCACTGTACTCTAGCCTTGGTGACAGCCTCAACCCTGTCTCTTTAAAAAAAAAAAAAAAATTATTTTTAGGCCAGGCACGACGGCTCATACCTGTAATCCCAGCACTTTGAGAGGCCAGGGCAGGCAGATCACTTGAGGTCAGGAGTTCAAGACCAGCATGGCCAACATGGCAAAACTCTTGTCGCTACAAAAAATACAAAAATTAGCCAGGCATGGCAGATGGCGCCTGTAATCCCAGCTACTCACTCAGGAGGCTGAAGCAGGAGAATCGCTTGAACCCAGAAGGTGGAGGTTGCAGGGAGCCAAGATTGTGCCACTGCACTCCAGTCTATGTGACAGAACAAGTGAGACACTGTTTCAAAAAACGAAAAAAAAAATCAAGTTTTAGTTTTACTCTTTGTTGTTTGAATCCAAATTTAAATAAGGGCCACGCATTGCAATTGATGGAAATGTCTTCTAAGTCTCTTTCAATCTGTAAGTTTCCCCTTGCATCACTTTTTTTTTCCTTCCTTTTTTGTTGAAGAAACTAGACTGTTTATCCTGAAATGTCTCCTTACATGTGGATTCTGCAGACTGCATCCCAGTGAAGTCATTTAACATGTTTCTCTGTTGCCTATATTCCTTGTAAATTGAAAGTTAGAACTAGAGACTTGATAAAATGTTTTGCTCTTACTTTCACAGAACTACATCATAGTTGGTGTTATGTGCTTCTGGGTGTGTGTGTGTGTGTGAGAGAGAGAGAGAGAGAGAGAGAGAGAGAGAGAAAGAGATGTTGGCAGCCACTGGTGATCATTTCCCAGATCCATTCATCTTTTATGGATTACAAAATGGTGATATTTTAGCATTTCATCTTTATTTGCTCATTGGAATACTTCTGTAAAGAGAAATGTCCTCTCACTAAATATTTGATTACCCTGAGGTACAGGAAAGACAATGCTTTATTCTGCAAAAGTGACCAGAGGGGTTTTTGTTTGGTTGGTTTTGTTTTTAGTATCATTAGTAACTCATGGATATGAGCATATTTGTTTTGTTTTAATCCATGGCAGTTATTCTTATTAAATTTCAAAACGTCCCATGTTTGCCTTTTGGGAGCCTCTTCAGAATGGCTCCTGAGTCTTTATTCCACAGTATCCAAGTAGTCTTTGTTACTGAGCTAACACACAGGATCTGATTGTCAAATTAGATGCAGGACTCAGCAACCGACCCCTCCCAGCATCAAGCTTTGCTAGTAATTTCAAGGCAGGCAGGATGCTCAGAGGAAGCAGTGAGATTTCTGAAACATCACGCTTCATCTGCTAGGTCCTTCTTCCCCACATCAGTAATAATTCAGAATAATAGGTGGAGTCCCTCAGTGAGGGCTCACAGGGTTCCTCATTCAGAAGCACATTTAAATTATGAAGTGTAAATTATGAAACATTCCATTTTCTACTCCACAGAGTGAGTTGTAAAGCTTCTCAGGGATGTTCCGTAATCATGCCTCATGGATTCTGGTTTATTTACTTAAAGAAATCCTTTGACTGAGGACTTCCCTCTGGGGCATTCGGTAGATAACATCCCTCCTGCCTAGCAATGATTTTTAGTCTATTTACTTGAAGGTTCAGTTGACAAAGAGGTAAGACATGGTCACCTGTCTTTTCTGTCCCCCAAGGACATTTCCCAGTAAAGAAAATGAATGGATCACAGGCCAGATACTTTAATTACTTCCTGGTAAGATGAGGTGGTCTACGGTCTCTTAAACATCTCCTGCCCCAGACCTGAAAGCAGCTATTTCTCCAATGACTCCTTATTCTTTTTAGTGATAAACAGTATTTAGATATTGTAATCTGAGGGATAGAGGAAAGTAATTCTTGGTGAACACTCTATATCATATATCTTTGCATACTTCTTTGACCGCCCCCTTAGAATTATTTCCCTAGAAGTGAATTAATCAAAAGTATCCCCACTATAACCATTAATTCATAGATCAGTAATGGGGTATATCATTTATACCCAGTCTAGAGGGAATAACTAGTCTTAGGAATACATGGTTCCCCAGGATCTTCTCCAACACTAAGTGTTGTATATTATTTTAATATTCCATATAATAGGCTGAAATGATCATACTGGGGTTGAACGTTTTGGTTCGGCATTTTTTGAATGCTAAGTGAAGATATGTTTTCATATATTGATGTGCGCTATTTTTTTTGAATGCACCAATCGTATCGTTTCATTTTGTTTTCTTCAATATTTAGCAAATATTACCATTTTGTCTATCCTTCATGTTGTAAATATTTTCCAGGTCGTTTGTATTTTGCCTGTGTTTATTATATCTTGGTTTATTTTCTTTTTAGAAAATTTGATTTTACAGCATTTGAATTTATAAAGATGAAGATTTTTTCTTACAGCCAAAAGTGCATAAAATCTAACCATTTTTAAGTGTACGCTACAATAGCGTTAACTATGTATACATTGTTGTGCAACAGATGTCTAGAAGTTTTTAATCTTGGAAAACTCAAACTGTATATACTGAACAGTCTCCCCTCTCCCCTTTCCCCTAGCCCCTGCTAACAACCATTCAATGTTCTAAAATGTTTTGCTTGTTTTTTAACTTTTCAGTTAATCAGAGCTCTCAGATTTCTCCTTTATGGTTTAGCTTTTGTGTACATAAAGCAAGGGTTTAATATTACAAATAATCTGAAGTAAATATCCATTTTCCACCACTCAGGTAAAGAAACAGAACATTGCCAGTGGCGTCCTGCAGGCCTCCCATGCACCCCCTCTCAATTATAGCTCCATCTTCACAATAAAAGTAGTCACTACCTAACTTTGATGGTATCCATTCTCTTGCTTAGTTTATCACCTATTTGCCTCTCTAAACAAGTTGATTTGGTTTTATTTGGTTTTGAACTTTATATAACATACTGCTTGTGTTCTGTTAAGAATATTTCCTTGAATCAGTGTTATTTGTAATATTTTTCCATGTTATTGCATGTGACTGAAGTTCGTTTCATTGCTGTATACTATTCCATTTCATGAACATATCACAATATGTTTATTCTCTTGTCAATGGACAGATGAATTTTGGTGATTATGAACAAAATATGTAATATGTTCAGTAGAATTTCTGAATCATAAGATATAGATACACACACACACACACACACACACACACACACACACACACACACAGATATATCTTCAACTGTTTTCCAAAGTGAATGAACCAATTTGGACTTCCAGTAGCAGTAACTGAAAGTTAAAAGTAAGCAAAACATCTTAGATGTTTCCTGGTAACACGTGCACAAACTTCCTACTCCACTCTTCCTATGTGACTAGGAGTAGAATTTCTGAATCGTAAGATATAGATATACACACACACCCTTCAGCTGTTTTCCAGTGAATGAACCAATTTGAACTTGCAGTAGCAGTAATTGAGAGCCCATTGCTCACATTCTCTCTCTGCTGTTGTCATTTTTATCATTTCAGTGGGTGTTTAGTACTATGTTATTATAGTAGTATTTTTTACATCTTTGATCACAATGAGGCTCAACACCTTTTCATTATGTTTACTGGCCATTTGAATTTCTTCCTTTATAAGTGGCTGTTTAATTCGTTTGCTAATTTTTTATTGGGTGGTTTGCCTCTTTCTTACTGGCTTTTAAGAATCCTTATATATCCTGAGCATGTGCTTTTTGATGGTTACACATTTCAAAATCATCTCACATGTTCTGGTTAATCTTCCCTTCTCTTTTCATGTCTTTGATTAATGTTCAGTCTTAATATTCTAGGATTTTTCAGTGTTGGTTTAAGATGACCTGAGTGACCTTTAAAAACTCTAATTTGTTTCCTTGCTTGAATGAACCAATATTTAAATATGCTTAGTATAATCCTGAATTACTTTATTGCTGAGAGCTTGGCAGACCTTCTCTTCAAAGAGAACGTCAATGACAATAGTCCCAATGACATACGTTTGAAGAGTACTTTTATCATTTTCACAATTAGGTACTCCATACAGCCTGGAATTTTTAAGTCATTATGATTCTATTTGGCTCTCCAACAAATAGATCCTGTAGTATATATTATCTTGTTTTCTATAATTCCCAACTGTGTGCCATCCTGTGCCACCTTATGGTGCTGTTATATATACCTATGAGGTTCATAAGGCGTATGTCCTCTCTTCCCAACTGGGCTGAAAGCTGCTTGACATCAGAGGATCCGTAAATGCGTCTTTATATCTTCCATGGTGCTTTGTATCAAATAAGCATTGAGAAACGTGACATTTAGGGTCTCTGAAAGTTTAACCCTTCAAAAGAAAAAAAAAAGACTAGTTTTAAAAGATATGAGATGCTTGGATATTATTTTAAGGATTTAATTGGTTGTTGCACTGCTAATATAGAATTGATGATTATCTAAAACACTGCTCAATGAATGTGTGTAATTACCTGCCCTTTCCAAACCTCGCTAATGAACATCTCACTCGACTACCACATCCTTGTCTATTCTGCGGAATGGTCCCTGGTAGAGATATTGATGGAAGCCAAAGGGGAGCACAGATAATTCAGAACATGGATAAACTACTTTGTCTTTCTTCTTGAATGTCACTAAATTCAATATATTTATGCTCATTTGCTTCTCAGGTAGAAATGAGTCCTCTGGAAAATGCAATTGAAGTGCTGGAAAATAAGAATCAGCAGCTGAAGACTCTGATTAGTCAGTGTCAGACAAGACAGATGCAGAATATTAATCCCCTGACTATGTGCCTGAATGGAGTTATAGATGCTGCAGTTAATGGTGGCGTTTCCAGGTACCAAGAGGTAAGGATTAGGTATTACTGTTTCAGAGAAACTTTTCAGTTGTGACTTCTTAGGGTTTGATGAATCTTTTTTCAGAATATGTACCCATATCAGCATGCAAACTCAGGACTGCAATTGACACAGAGTCCTTTGTGAAATACAGCAAACATACAGTCATTTGTAATGCCCAGTTACTGCATTTTTCCAACATGTTATATTTTGATAATAAAAATGTGTGTTCATTCTTGCATGAATAAAAGTGGAAAGGTTAGGATTAATAAATATCCATCTAAAATAATTTCTCTAAGCAAAGAAGTTCATGGGCATAGAAAAGTCTGATCTGGGATGGGCTCAGTGGCTCACACCTGTAATCCCAGCACTTTGGGAGGGTCACTTTAGCCCAGGAGTTCGAGACCAGCCTGAGCAACATAGGAAGATCTTATCTCTAT